TGCCAAATTCTGTGCATAGTGACCAGAGGCCGAACTGTGAAAACCGTCTCTTTAAAGAGCTGTGCAAAACCTTTGAATTCCACAACACGCCTACAACCCGAGGTCACTCCCAGGACAATGGTCAAGTGGAAAGGTCGAATCGTGCACATGTGAACCTATTGATGGCCTTTACCAACCTGAGGACTGGACTCATCACCCAGGATGCGGCCGCCTTGCCTACCCCGCCTCCACCCACACACACCTCGACTGAAGTCGCACCTTTCAAGATGCGTACTGTTCGTGAATCTCGAGTTCCTTCTGACATTCTCCTTCCTTGTAACAAACCGGCAGTCGATGACATGCTCCGTATGCCTTGCGACTGGAGGAAAGCCTTAGGAAAGTGCTCAACGTCGCACGCACACGACTGCAGAAGTCAGGTGCTGAGCATACGAGGTGGCACGGTAGACAGAGCCAAACAAACGTATTTCATGAGGGCGATCTGGTGTAAGTGCACAGGTCGATTCCTCCACCAGGAATCCATCAGAACTTCTACCATGCCTGCAGCAATGAACCCTACCGAGTAATCAAAGTCCTGCTGCCTACCATTTACCCCATCCGCGATGCGGCGATTGGCACTCAGCCTCTAACAGTACATCGTGACAGAATCAGACCATGTATGGGTCCGCCCCCGGTGGATTACGAAGGCGAAGTTGATGCGTTGGCAGAAGGAGAGAAGCCACCTGACGGTGCTTGAAGGAGGAGGGACTGCTCAATATATGCATTTAAGTTGCCTTTATAGGAGAGAAGTGGATGGTCAGCTCGAACAAGAATCCCATTTGTGAGGGGCGAGAAGAGGCATCATCTGGTTGACATAAGATTAGTGCTTCTTCTTCCATTTCCTTTTTTGTACATGATACCGACTAAAATCTCCTCAGCCGACTCTCTCATGAGGTCCGAGGCTCAGGGAAACGAGGGTAGGTAGACAGGACCTAAGACTGCATGTGCTCGTCGCGTGTGGTTAGTAATAGGGCTCTAGTTATTAGAACTTGATGAGGAATCGCCATCCAATGTTTTACAATAGGTAGTTCGCTCGTACAGGATGTCTTGAATAGGGTCGTAACAGGGTAAAGCCTTTGTCTAATCTAGCTTTTCCGCTATACTATGTTGTGAAGTAAATTTCAATGTAAGATTAAATGTTTTTAAAAATAGTATTAACCTCCTCGCTAATGTCGTAGTAACTGCCTGTCTATCCTCTAGTCCCTGGTTCTCAGACTTTAAGGGGAAGTTGGTTGTAGACGATTTATTAGGCATCTCTATAAGAAGGATAGGGGAATAAGATACACATGTGATGAACAGGCGGTGTCAATTGCAGGGACGCTCCTCGTCGACCTCGCGCACGTGATCCACGCCTCCAATTTGTTTCCGCCTCTCGCCTATCAAAGTCCACTTAAACAACTAGAATATATTACAAATGTAACGAAGTATTTAGATGTAAACTCTGTGAAAAATGTAAAGAGCCGATAAAATAATCCCTCACTGAAATCGTTAAAGCCGTCGCGAGCACCAGGTGGTAGCAATAATGCATGCAAATTTTCGTTATGGGAAATTTCATTGGTCAGTCTCGTTTGTTAAGCCATACTTCATTTTCGGCTGGATTTGAATTGCATTATAGAAGTTGCCGGCTTGACGTGTGATGGCGGATTTTTGCGGATATAAAGTCGAAATAAAGTCAAATCAGCTAGGCACAGTTGTTGGAACTGTGAAGGCTTACAACGACAATCAGATTGATCTTGTCGACACCACTGTCAATGGTCGTGGTATCTTCGAGGAGCTTTACTCCGTTCAGTAGGGGACATGTTTACGATCCTTAGTAATTGCTTTTATGCATCGAAACATTTGATTTTTTTACTTTATTTTATTCATGAGGCCTTGTTTTGAGCAAACTATTTTCTAAATCGTTTCATTCGTGGTCCGATTTTCCTTAGGAAGCGTTTTATTGACCATTTGAAAATCATTTCAACAACTCGCTCCTCGTGTACTCAGAATAAGTCTACTGGTAACATTCACCAGACTCTCTCGTCTCGTGATCTTCGTCGTGAGAAATTGCGCAATATTCCTGGCGCGTGTACTGCTTATGTGTGCGATCGGTCGCCTCCCCGCATTGCCAAGACCCCTCAGGTTCAGCAAAAACCTCATAAACAGAAGAAGCTTGAGAATGGGCTGGAGAAGTCAATAAAGCGCATAAATTCTGGTAGGGATGGTGGTGGTGGTCTTTCCCGCACATCGAGTACCGGGGCAGCGGATCGTCAGAGTTGTCGTTCCAAATCAAGTAAGCTGTTATTTGTTTGAGAACTGGGTTGTTGGAATCGATTCCATCGGTGTATTTGTGTTTGAAGGTGAAGCTCTTGATTGCGACCCTGTATCTGGTTTTGAGAGCGACTCAGCGGCCTCTAGGTTGCAAAAGGGCAATCAAAGGCGTACAAGATTTCGGGGGAAACATAATTCTTTTGCGAGCAACGGATGGGATTCCTTGCGAATTGAAGATTTTATTGATACGGATTTCGATTTCGAGGCTAATTTGGCTTTGTTCGATAAGCAAGCCTTCTATGAGAAAACGGATGCCAGGGAGGGCGGAAATGCCAAGATTGGTGGACGCTTGAACAATTACTATCACGGTGGAGAGCAGGTTCTGGTGGAGGGTCCTGATGGAGTCAGCTTCGAGCCTCTTCGTGAGTTCATCATGCTCCTTTTATCTGTTTTATGCTCCATCCCTCTAACTCATTGAGTTTCCTGCTCCCATAGTCGAGTCAAAGATGAAGACATCTACACCGTCGAAGGCTTGGGAAACTCCAGCAATTACTCCTACTACGTGGTACTCTACTACTGGCCAAAAGGTACCCATTCTTGCCCCTAGCGCCCACGAGCGTGTCTTGCATTTCCTGGCCACTGGCCAGGATTCAGCGGGTATGGTGCCGCCTCTCCCCATGGGGCTAACGTGGGATCGCCTTATCGAAATGGCTGGTTTGGCAGTTGCCAATAGTGCTATCGCCTTTCTTAAACACTCGCCCAATCTGTTAAGCAACCGGTAAGAACTATGGAAACTTTTTTGCAATGTTGAAAGCCAGATTCTTGGTTTAAAATTATTGTATATCATCACCTGCTTTTCTGCCCGTGAAGACCGCTTGCCTTGTTGCGCCTGAACTGCTCTGAGTGGCGCTATGAGAGACGCGGCTCTCGGTGGAAATTTATTATGAGCATGGCTCGTATCAACGTCATACACTTCTGGTCAGTAGAGGGTGTTAGAATTTGAGTGTCCTTCAACGCATTTCTAGTCACAATTTTGCGATAGCCTTTCTCTCACTTTCACTGTTGTCGTCAAAGTCTTCCGTGCCATTTCTCGCAAGATCTTGCGACTCATCATCTCGACAAAAGTGTCTTCATATGTTTTACCTATTATATACAACTTCTTCCAGGAAACTACATCGAGCAATTTGTGAAACTGCCTGTCCTGAGGAAAGATTGGCTTTGGCACATACCCTGTAGATTATGGGCTTGATTGTTTTAAGACTAGTTCTGCTGGAGAATATTAAAGGTTAAATAAGCACCTGGTGTTGTTATTGTTGAAGTTCTATATAGTCTATAATAGCAGTTACTCCCTTTCCCAATGGCACTCTTTCCGAATGCTACTCATCTTTATGGCCCTCTGTTCTCTTTGTACCATTGATCGCGATGTTTTTAGTAATAAGTGGTTCTTCGTTGTCATGATAAAGTGTATTGCTCGGGCCTGGTACACTTACTGGGCAAGTAGCACTCAATTTGCTTTTACTGCTCACACTATCACAGCTTCTTAGGCGATTTTGACACATCTAGCACAACGAGTAATGATCTGATTAACCTTTCATAATGTAGAATGTAGGGCTCAGATGCAGACTATTGGTGGATTGTAATGCATACCCTTGCAAGCCGTCACAAGTTACCCCGAGTTTTTGCGTCGAGACGGTGTAAGTCACATTGAGCATTTCGGCCACTAGGTACCATGCGGCAAGTCAAGGCTAAAATTATGCCGCACCAATTTCCTTCTTTAGCCCAGGTGTCTTAGCGGATGGAATCATTTTTTGCAGCTGGCTTGTATTCCAAGCACAGAAGATCTGCGTTTTTTCCCGCTCTATGTGACCACCAATAAGAAACGGCTTCAACTTGTGTAATGTTATTGTCATGACGTCAAGTTACAGGTGGCAAGCCTTAAAATTGTGGTCAGTGCACAATTGTGCACTTTATCGCAATCGATTTCGATTTTATCCCTACTGTAAGTAAGGCAATTGCGAAAATTTGGAACTGTTCTAACGACGCACGTTTTGTGGACCCATGAAACCAGCATTCCAGATGAATAATGTTTTTAGGTGCCTGTTTATACACATATTTGATTAACTGGATTTGCATGTGGCTTCATTTTACGCATGCGTATGGACTGCGAGATTAGCTGCAGAGGTGGCATTTCGAAGATTGAGAAAGTTGTCACACCCGTATAACTGACATCCTGTCAAAGGTTTGTAAAACTGTTGGAATACTAATGAAGTTTCGCGCAAATCATGGTATTTTCTTTTACCAAATCGCCTTTTCTAAAATTGCCTCGTCTTCAGGTTAGTATTAGTTCCTCACAAATTTTGGCTATTCCTAGAGAAGACTCACATCCCAAGTCTTCCCTTTAAAATCAACTTTTCCATCTGGAAAGACGTGACCATTTTCACTGGTTTTTAGTTCCGTATTGATTTTTCTCCCAGTCACCGTTTTGACTATCAAAGTGATGTTTTCGTCAACTTCTCTATTTGTATTGCTTTGGTTGGTTTTGCTAGACTGGGTCAAAAACAGAGACCGATGCAACAACAGCATCAATCTGCACAGCCGCCACTACGAGTTCTCGTGCTGCCTGGACGCCGAAATGTGTTCGGAACCCTGGCCGTGAATGTTGCCCGTCACTTAGCGGCTCGAGGTGCTGCTTGTGTTCTCCTCCATGCTCCCCCCTCTGCATCAGTTGATAAACTGAGTTCATTTCCCCCTTACGATGTTGAGTTAACGCTAGCCCAAACTCTGGCCCCTCGAGCTACCACTCTCCTCTCCTCCGAAGTGAAGGAATGCGGTGCGGACGACGACGAAGAGGACGAAGGCGATAGCAGGGATGGTGAACTTACCAGTTCCGCAGGTCGGATGTGGATCAGTAGAATTCCCGGCCTCGCGGTGGTCTCCAAAACCACAGGTATCACTCGTCGACCAAGCAATGTTCTTGTTGATCTATTAGTATTGGGCCAACCGCTAGAGCAGTATCCCATAGAGATGCGCCAATGGTTGGTCAGCCACAAGGCTATTTGCCTAGCTATCCAGCTGGGTAGATTCAACGTCCCTCTAAAAACCGATTCTGTGGGTCCATCGCAGGCCCTAAAAACTTGGGCTATACAACTGGGAATGCCGGTGTTGGCGCCAGCTCAGGTACCGGAATCGGTGGAGATTCACTTGGTCGATGTTGGAATGAGCAGAGCGATTGTTGGTAGAGTTACAGGTGATCTGCGAGCACTGCCGCCACCAGCTCTTTTTGACGCAACGTCGTGTGTCCAATTGGCAACCGAAGGCAGCTCTTTGTAAAGATAGTCCTGTACTTCTTGTAGTAATATGTGTACAGTAGGTTCGAACTCCCTCCCTTCCTTTATTTTGCAGTTTTTGCTATGTCGGTCCGCACTTGAGCTTGTCTCACTTCCTCTTTCGAGCCTCAAATCGATGCCGGTCATCATTGTTCTGCCCCCCCTCTGGTCCGTTCGCCTCCCCATTCACCTGCCCTACACCCAATCATTCCACGGCCTATATTACTGTTTTTATCCAGGCTCCATTTTGTAAATAGAATCACCACCACTCAGGGAAAGCCAATCTGCTCCTTTCATATGGACTTGGACAGAATTAGTTCGTGAAAGGATAGCACAGTAGAATTGAAAATGGAGCATGGTGCAAGACCTGGGCGTTTTGGCGATCTTTAACAAGGCTGCGTAGATAAATGAGGAATAGGTTATTAGTCGACGAGACTTTTTCGTGGTAACGAGACTCAAACCTCTTTTCACAAGAATAACCCAGCAACGGTGCTAGAGCTAAGTGCCATGGAAAACGATCGTATTTGTGTCCAAAGTGGAGTCTGCCTGTCCACCCTCATGCCCTTAAACCTCGCAATACAAGAGAGAATTAGTTGCAGCAGCTTTGCTAGGTAGTGTATGCGAAAAAAAGGAGGTAAGGAGTACAGACGAGCCAGACAGCAGATATGACCCAGGCGGGGAATCTTCACAACCCTCACGCACCAGACCTGTGTCCAAATATAAAGTATATAGTATATAATGTAATGCTTTATGTGATTACCTGACGTTCTGTGGTCGCCTTAGGATTTTTATGACCCTTGTACTCGTGGGCTGGCCATCAGGCCATACTCAGACCCATTCGCTCTGTTCCCTTCGAAATACATGTATCCAGCCTCACTTGCTGCCTTCTTCCACTCGATTGGAAGCCTCGAGATGCCCCACATATCACATTCAAGATAGGGAAAGATCAAATAGCCGTTTGCATGTGCTAACCATAGATCAACAGAAACAGAAAAGCTCAAAACGGCATTGGATATCCGTGTAAAAGTAGGAAAACAATGTGCAAAATAGGCAGACTACATTTCCACTCATTCCAAAGTAACTTCAATGAATAGTACAGGACTAATTGTAGCATCTCCAAACTTCCTAGCAGGTATAAGAAGTCAGTAAGTGCAGCTGAACACATGTATCCCGAAGACGACAGGACAAACGGGTCCTAGGACGGCCCAAAGACCAGCTCACCTGAACATAGATCAAACATAACCTAAAATTACCGCTAAATGCAAGGTGGTCACATAAAAAAAGCATTGCAACAACCGTAAAGTATGTTTGTCTATAACTTTAAAAAAAGCTAAAAATATTACCTATAACATTGTTTATGCAACGAGTGGATATTTGGTTGTAAATTTTGGCGTCCGCTTTGTCCTTGTACGTGTGTGCTGAACTTCTTCTCCAAGAATACATGCATTCTCTTCAAGGAATTGATAAACACAAACCAATGGACGTTTCGGCTATATGCCAGGTTTCGCGAGTTTTAGGCTGGAAGGCCTTTAACCTATTAGTACTGAAGTATACTGGACTAGAACGAAAAGACGAGTAATACAAAATCGCTAAAAGCTAGAATGATTGCTTCACATGCGACGAATATTTTAACTAAAAACTAAAAAAGCTAGCCTCAAGAAAATCTATTCTTTTTGTTTAAAATGCTTTCGTTGCTGCACAATTTGTGACTTCGTGTTTGAGACGCTCTAGTCTTCAAAATGTCGCATGGGAAACGCCCAGAACATATTGCTCCCCCAGAAATAGTAAGTTTCGAGTCCCTTTTTTCTGAGTTTAATTTTTGAGTATTACAATGAAAAGGAAGCTGAGAAGTATACTTCAAAGTAAACTACTAGTTGGTGCCGTCATGCTTCACGTTTTAGTTCTCATATGATAGAAATTCAAACAAAATTATCGGAAAGAGCATTTGAGCTTTTAGCGCTGCCTGAAGATCAACCAGCTTTACTACTAGATATTGGGTAAGTGGTGAAGTTTAGTAACTCCACTTCGCTTTGGTAGCTGCGGTTCTGGCCTCAGCGGTGAAGTCTTAACAGAGAACGGTCATTCATGGATCGGCATAGACATCAGTGAGGCCATGTTAAAAGTTGCGCTAGAACGGGAATCTGAGGGAGATCTTCTTCTCGGTGATATTGGTGAACTTCTTCCTTTCCGAGGTGGTTCCTTTGACGGAGCCATCAGTATTTCAGCCATTCAGTGGTTGTTTAATGCTGAGAGATCTGACCAGAATCCGATCAGTCGTATTCGGAATTTTTTTTCTTCGCTTTATTCCTCCCTTTCACGTGGGGCGCGAGCAGTTTTGCAATGCTACCCGGAGAGCTCAACGCAGTTGGATCTCTTGCAGACTGAAGCCATTCGAGCTGGTTTTACCGGAGGCATTGTTGTAGACTTTCCCAATAGTACAAGGGCAAAGAAGTAAGTTGTTGGCTTTAAATTGAATTCCTTTTGAGAACTCAAACTGCGTTTCATTATCTCCCGGTGCTCTTAATCCGTGTTCTATTTATTGTCTCTAGCATTATTTTTAGTGCTGCTCTTCACGGTACTCGACTTTATTAGGCCGTTTTTTTTGTTGGAACCAGTCTTCAGAATATCTTGCAGAATGTATACTGTGCACTGTTGTTTTGGAGTATCACCCGTCGTAAATAATGTTTTTACTTAGATCTGTCAATCGGCTTTTTTTTGGCTCAGTAAAACGCCTAAAATGAGTTATAAAGTACAAGGTTTTACGCTTTTAACGCTGGAAGTTGGAAAACGACAGCAAGCCTAGAGGTAAATTAATTTGTTCACGAATTTGGTTGTCACATCTTTACCAGCTCTTAAGACTAACAAATGAGTGGTAGTCCCACTTTGAATTAAATTTTTGATTATATTAGTCTACTGCAAAGTTCGTGACATGATGAAGAGATGCTGGTATGTTCGTGCAATGTTGACAATGTTGGTGTATAATTCGAAATGCAAAATGGATGTTCATAAAGTAAAACTCTTCCAGAGAATGGACAGGATCGCCCATTTCACTCGCCGATTTTTCATTGATACTTCTGTTAAAGGAATGTTATGATACTTTCACAGGCGTTTGGGTTTTTGCTATGAGCACGAATTAAAGTCCTGGGACAATATTGAAAGACGGAGACCTCAAAGTCGTTTTTACCTCCCAGGTATTTTATGGTGCTGGACGTCGGTGTGGTGCGCACAGTTCCCAAAGCTAAGATTAGTGAAAACAGCACGAGTACTGTTTCCATGATCAGCATTGTGGAGCAGCGTCGGCGCACACAGGCGGAGCTACGGGACGCTCGACTACGCGGTCGGTGTCCCAAAAAGAGTGTCGCGTGGATCCGACAGAAGAAGGAGCTCGCCCGGCGTCGCATGAAAGACGTGGCTCATGACTCCAAGTACACGGGACGTAAGCGGCGCCCGCGGTTCTAATTCCAGAACCTGATTCCTTTGATTGTAAAAAGCTTACCATCTGTGATTTATTCTTCGACTCATTTCCGTTCCGGAGTTTATTTGCGTGTAGAATGTCTAGATTTCCGGTAGTGATACGATTTAGCGGTCTTCTTGGTTAGATTTTGTAATAATCTAAGGCAATTATAAATTTAGAATGGTAAGATAGGTGAAGCATGAACTACGGTTAAGAATGCCCTTAAACACAACATTATTGACATCAGTGTGGGTGTTTTGATAAAGATACAGTTGGAGGGTTTTTTTAATTTCTGTCAACTATTGAGAATTATTCGGCGTCGCAAATAACCGCTGCACCTGGGCACCGGGGATGAGGAGGCATTAACGCCCTTTCTAATTTGGGATAATGCATTAAAAGTGGGGTTAGCGTAGGCAAACCTTGGGCAGTAGCCATATTCCCACGAATTAGGTATCCAAAACGCTTATGGATGATGGTTGCAGTTAAGTTTATTCTTCGTTCCAAGTTCGCTGGTAATAGCATTTCGCCGTTACCACGATGGTGCAACGATAACGACTCAACCCTGATCTCATTAGTGCGTTCCATCCTGGTCTATCGAGACTTAGAAAGGACGGGCTCAAACATCAACTGAGTGTCCTGAAGTTGTGCTCCAAAATATCTACGATTCGACCCAAAGATGGAATACTCCAAAAAGGTCAAGGGCGATGATCAAATGCGTTTGAGGAGAGCGATGCTATAAAATCATAAAGTTGGCCAAATTAAACGCGAAATCAAGGTTCCAAGTATGTACACATAAATCTGACACAATCACTGTAGAAGAGCCATTTAAGTAGCTAAAATCCTCCCGCGCCGATGAAAGCACGCATCTTTTCATAGGTCAGCCAGAAGGTTAGCGACCACGGAGCCTGCAGGGAAGGTGCACGCTGATTCCACTCATAAACGTGCAAGTAGGACTGCAACAACACTTACCATGCGACCCCAAATGAGGAAGAAACCACGATATAGGGTGAAAAAACCCTCTTGCCTAACTACCTTGACAGCGCAATCGACCATGCCGGTGTAGAGCGGAGACAGAGGAACACCAGAAGCGGTCACAACGCGCTGATTCATCATACGCGTTTTGATAAAGTCAGCCGGTGTGCCCAAACATGCCGAGACGAAACCGGACATGGTGGAAGCACATCCATGCAAAAGTGGGCCATCGGTAAGTCCAAGACGTCGCTGTAGCCAACGCTTTGCGGTGTCATAAGTGGTCATCTCGCCCATGTTGACGAGAGCAGCGCGCTGAACGTTGGGCAGACCGCCACGCCAAAGGCCCAATACACCGTTTTCTTTTACCAATCGTCGAAATGTTACAGAATGGGCCAAATTGCGTTTTAGCGGGTGTCTATTAGGGCAAAGGATTCACCTAGAGAAGCGATTAATGTTTACTCGAACAGGATTCTACCAAACTTCAGGGTGTGGATTCGTGCCAAAACGTTAAACACAGCGATGGCAAATCATACATTCCATCCGCAAACAAACAAATATCTGGTGTTTACTATACTGAATTTACACGTTTAATCTCACTAAACAAGGATCAATTGTTTACGCTGCAGTGAAGCGTGCGAAATGAACAATAGGAACCGAAGACAATTAAACGAACTCAGCACTACGCGCTTCTGCTAGCCATTTGTGATTTCGAGATAAACTAACTGCCGCATGCAGCCGAGTGGCGACACTTTGGTCCCCAAAAGCACACCATAGACGGAAAGGGTCATAGGTGTAACAGGACACAAACACACCAATTTCAGGCAGTTTCGTAAATGAAGAAACGAACTCATTTTTAGCTAAGACACAAGCTACCACATTGCCACATAAGTGGCGAATCATCGGAGTAATCAAATGTAAAACTTACGCAGTAGATGGAATCGGTTTTCCAGTGGAGTCGATCACAGGTGTTGCGGCAACAAGATTCATCCTTTGCTCAGTTTGCAGCCGAACCTAGATAGAATTGAATAAAAGAACAATTACTGAATCCAAACGCAGAAAAGTGAGGAAAAGTCGTACAAACAAGTCCTGAAGAAGGCAATTTTCACAGTGGTGCTTAAAATTGCTTCAATATAAGAAGAGATTACAAATGATAAGCTGTAAGTACTAGCCAGCTTTGAAACCAAAAGTGGTGGAAACAAGGGGAGGGCAGTAATATTCACTTTATACAGATCCGTAGGACTGCAGATGAACTGAGCCAGTGCGCCTGAAATTATTCCTCCAGCAGCGGCGTAAATAACATAGCTCCGAGAAAGAGAGCCCTGCGGCTCCCTGCATTTGGCTACCTCGAATTCATGCCTAGCCTTGTCACTTGCAGGAGGCATATCAAAAACACGATTTCTTATAATTTCATAAATGGGCATCCTAGCTCCCGTATATACTGTAAAGAGATAATAGCACAAACCCCCATAACAGGTTACAGGATTTAGAATTTAATCCTTCAGTTCTTACAGAAATGCCTGTATAAAGCGGGAGAAAGTCCCTGCCAAAAGCTAAAAACACCTTCTGTTTTCACGGTCGAGAGAATAAGTGGAAATAAACGTGGTCGAGCTTTAGTAGCTGAGAGCTCGCCAGCAACTTGGAGACGTGTTTTAACACTATCAAGGGGGTAGGTCACTATGGCAGAAGTAAGAAAAGATACCACGAATACCTGTCTCGCCAATAAATGCGGATACACAACATATTGTTAAATGGGAGAACTGCGGATGAGAGTCGTGGAGATCGCGTACAAGGCGCCGAAACGGCTCAAGACCCATCGGGCAGCACATAAGTCAACCAATAGGACCCGCATTACTCAGCTGTATGAAAAGAACGCATAAGTTTTGGATAGTTAAAACAAACACTTTATTACTAAAAAGTTTTTTAACAGTTTTGAAAAAATTTTTGTTAAATCTTGGAATGTTGTGTAAATTGTTGCCTTTTATTATGTCATGACCATAAATTGTATATTTTAACACTTGTCAACAAATAAGTCTATCATTTTAATTTTATATAACTATCAATGAGCTGACTGTCCCTCTTCTGGGGGTGTTTGACCTTAGGCTATAAGCCAATTACTGTGCAAGAAGTTCACCCGCTTAATCATTTAAGGCACGTTGCGGAGTAGCCGTATCTAATTTTTCATACTTTGAGCTTGAACACTTTGTATGATGCGTAACTCAGACTCGTTTCATTCCTGCTACTCCCTTGGCTATGATGATGTTTGCTTTGTGCCTTCTCTTTGTGTACTGTAGCCGCGCACGTGCTTTTGCCTTCATAATATAACCTTTATTTTGTTTTGGTTGATTAGGCCTTGTGTATTGTTCCAATAAACTTTTAATGTTTCGCGGAGATATTTCTTATCGCTTTTTTAACATATTTTGCATGTTCTAGTCCTAATATACTTTAGTGTAGGCATTTTTATTTTAGGTACTTTATGGACGTGAATGTTGAAGACGTCTGTATTCTTCAATCCCCCTGTTGTAATCCACTTGGCCTCTATCCACTTCTGTGTGTATGACTTTTGTGTAACCGAGCCTTGAGAATTTTCTCTTGCATCCAATAATTTCATTCCATTTAGAAAATGGTTCATCTCAAGTATGTGGCCAGTTCGTTTGTATCAGCTTATTCTCTGCGTCTCTCTTGGTTTCTCCGTTGATCGCTATTCTGGTATCGTGTATTTGGAATCCGTTAAGAAGAGGATTATGTACCTCAACGATTGGTGGCTTCCTTTCTTTTTTGGTTTGTTTAGGTTTGAATTCGGATTTGTTAATCTCTTCTTCATTTTAGGAAATGAAAATCCTCACTGTATCTTGTCGATTGAGCTGAGTATCTTTTATCTTTTGATGTTTATTTGGATTCGGCGTAAATTTCTACGATGGGCACTTTCATACACTCGTTGGATCTGTTAGTTATTTCCATATTTTACTGATGGGATTCATTTTCTCTTATTCGTTTTCTTTTATTCTTGTTTTTACTATTGGCAGATTATCCAGAGTCTTTGCCTGACAAAACCTTTTGGGGCAGGCTCAGATATTTTTGTCTTTGGCTGGGTTTTGGAAGTGCTCCAACTACATTTCAAATGGACAAAGTATTGCCATCGCTTCCTCTACCCGATGTTGCCATCACGATCAAACGTTTGATGGGTAGCCTTTCACCTTATCTCGGCGAGGACTCGGTGCATTATCAGGAACTCGAAGCTGGATTACGAGTCAGTTGATCTAATCATGGATCTTTCTTTCCTTATTTTACTTCATAAAGGTTATGCGTTTTTGTGGCGATCTAGGCTGAAGAGTTAAGACAGGCTTGTATTAACTGGTCTTGAAACAAATGCCTCATATAGGTCTTTTTATTGGCAACTTTTCTTCTTTGTGGCGTTAAATTAACAAAACTGTTCCAATAGCTTATCATTAGCCAACCTACTACGTTATTCAGGACCCGTTTCTCTTGCATGCAGCTTTCTGGTCATGCAGTCACCTACTACTCATCACCGACAAATGTATCGTCAATGTAATATTCTTAACCATTGAATGTTATTGATGACCACCTCTCGTATAAAAGTGCCAAATAAAGTTTGAACTTGGCTCATAGGATCGTGCTGCAATGGGCGACGACTTTTGCATATTTGGCTGCAGTCCTTTAAAGAAGACACACCACTGGGCATTTAATTTGCAGTAGAAATTACGTCTCATACAGCCTCTCATTTGACCCTTTTACGTCATTCCTGAGTGACCACGCCCTTTTTTGTTTCATGCGTTAAACGAAGCGTTCCATTGCCTGTTTTGTTGATCAAGAATGTGCGATAGTCTCCGCCTTTCTTCATTGTATAGAAATGGTACAAAGAGGAGGCTAGTGGATGTCAGCGTAGACTCAAAGCAAAAAAGTGGCTTTCTGGAAACTATGCAACTCTTTGGTGGTAAGTTTCCTCTGTGTAGGTGTGGTTAAGTGACTAATTTTTAATACTTTTTAGGGAATCTTACACATTTCTCTGCCACCGTCAGTCTACCCACATGGATACAACCTTCGTAGCTTTTCAGGATGGCAAGTACTTGCAAACGAAAAATCCGTTGGCAAGGTAATTTAAATGCGTTCTGAGGCACGATTTGAGTAACCTTACCCTAGTAACTCGAGCAGAGTATAGCGTTGTTTTAAAGGAAAATGCACAGGTTGCAAAAGTTTTTCATCCTTTTATTCGAAAGTCAAACAGGAATGGCGTTTTGTTGTAAAGCTTGGCCTTACAATTTGTATAATGCTTTGCACCAGTTGATTTTCTTCGTTGCGAAGGGTTGTGTAGTTTGAAAACGCCTCTATTCCGCCAAAACACTGACTGTATGTTTCGGAGACAGCGTGGAAGGAAGTCTACACAGCCATCAACCATATTAGAAGGTCATGTCACTGATTAGGAGCACAGTCTATATGGGCTGCAGTGTCGACATTCTTTGGTACTCACTTCAACGAGCCAAGTCATCAGTTTATCGCTTCTAACTGCTTCAGGCACGCCATTATGTCCGAAGCCATTTTTGTCTTTGAAGGTCATACGGTCGTTTAGTTCCTTACTAACATGTCCCAAGAACCGATTCCTCAGCTATTAATGAAACCCTTTTCTGACCTTTAGTGTAGGGAATAACTGACAGTTTAAAGGCCAGCCAATTAAATTTTTGGTCTTGTTTCAATGGGTGAGGTGTTTGGGTTGTTTCTTGCTTGATGGTCCCCAATTCTGCACCAGTTTCATATTGACGGCACTGAACACTTGTTCGAGGCAATTTCGGTATTTGTTTACGGGAAGATTTTGCTTACGTTGTTGTTTTAAGCTTTCCACTACTCACCCTGCTTCTATCCTCACATCTCCTCCTTCGGTTTTGCCATAAATCCTTCGCATTTGTCTTATTCATCTATTAGTCCTTCTGCCGTTTGTGATCAATTGACTTTTATCGGCAAATTTAGACTGTGGATTAGTTGCTGCAATTGCTCTACTTATGCTTTTGTTAGTAGCATGTGCAATTCCTGTAAATGTTCCTTAACCATGTTTGCAAAACGGTGCGGTCGGTTAGGAACTGAAAGCCACTATTACATTAAGGCTTATTGCTTAAGCTTCATTCTATAACTTTTGCTTGCTATGCAATGCAATTCGGATGGAGCTTTCTTCTAATGTGAAGGTCACTAAACGCTTTCAACAATTTATTCACCTTATTCAGTTCGTCTGGCATGCTGGATTATGCTGACATGGAATTAGATTAGCTCTCCAGAGCTGTAATTTTTGTTATGAGATAAAGGGAGCTATTAACTTCACCAAGAATGACAGGTTTGAAGTAGTTTTTCATTTGTTGACATCCTGAGCATCCGTGGCGCTTCCACCTCCTGGGATAGTAATTATTTTTGCCGTTCAAGCATCCGAGGCGCATTCATTCAGCAATGCACTGATTTGAGCCATAAATCCATGTAGTTTTTAATTGACGTGAAACGGGATATTCTCGAATATCATGTGTCAGGTCCCCCCAAAACATCACTGTTGCTTGGAGGGGTCGGTGAGACTCATTAATAGCATTGAGAATTGCTACCAGTCCTCTGGTTATCCGTTACCTTTGTTAGCATTAACTGTACACACATTTCCCAATCATTTCTTCATCCATCCATAACAGGGCGGCGGTGCTCGTCTACCTCTATGGCAATATGCGCCCTCTTCTCAAAGCAGGGCGGATCAATCCCGAGATGTTCAAGCATCAAGCGCCCATGTCCATGGAGCAATGGTATCGCCTCTTCTCCACTACAAGGTTCGGCTCATCTATCATAATTTATCGTCAACTTTTTCGGATAAGGCGTTAAAGCTAAAATTCTCATTTCTTCGACTAAGCTCCGTTCCATTCGGTTGTGATTGCATTCATCAAGGAGACATTCTTCCGAACTCAACACCAGCTGAAGACAACTGTTTCATTATTTCTTTTCACTTTGTTTTGCTTTCAGGATCCCCTCGCAAAACCAGGATGATCTCTGGACGTATCCACCGTCGCTAAGCAAGGTGGATTGAATCACCTTTTTCGCTCGTTCTTTTGATCTCTTATGAGGAGGATGTTTGTCACCTTTCAGCACATCATAGTTGTCCACAAAAACCACTTCTACAAGGTCGCACTTTTTACCAAATGGCGAAAAATCGTTTCACCCGATCTACTGCAACGAATGCTTGAATTCGTGGTAGCAGATTCATGCAAAAAATCAGGTTTGCTTAATTGTTCAGGCCTTTAAATGTTTGTTTTGATTTGCCTCCATGGGGCAAAGGAGTTTTTTCTGTGCTGTGCTTGGTAAAGAAGGTATTTCGAAAGCACCATTGCCTACCTTAGGGCGTAAAGCTTTACTGTTTAGAATTTGGAGGTGACGAGCCGTACTCGCCAGCTGTTTTGACAACCCTCAGTCGAGATGAATGGCTAAATGAACGATCGGACTACTTCACATACGGAATCAACAACGCTTCTCTCATTGACGTGGAGAAGGCGATTTGTCTGGTAAATTGTCTTTTTAACTTTTGATGAAGGCTGCCGAAGCAAAGGTTTATGAAATGTCCGAGAAGCTTGTTGATGGCTTCTGACATTATTCAACCATCCTCCTTACCACTCAATCATTATTTACTAAATTAATGGTATTATTAGCACATGATGTGGTCCAATGGAACCAGCTCATATTTAACGAATTGCAGGTTTATCTTGCAACCGACTCTACTTTGAAGCCCTATCAAGCCAAAGGAAACTTGTGGGTCGATAAGAGCGTAAACTTCTGTGTTTTGCCGAGCGCTGATATCAGCATTCACGTTGACTGGAGTTCAATGGATCCGTCGTTCTTTGCCGGCGTTCTGGAACGCCTCCGAGTTGCAGAGTAGGGCACTTATCCTTTTTGAACGACTACTGCGTAATCCATGCATTATATTTTCCGTCTTTGAGCTATTTTCCTAAATGGCCTCATTTTTCGGGTAGGCAATCATTATTCTCGTCCTTTCTTTAGAACGGCGACTATGTATGATCCAGCGACAGGGAATGCCGTCTATCTGGAAGAAGCAGATCATGAATGCGATGATCCCCAACCATTAAATTGGCAGTGCTTTGATGAAATGGTTGCTGTTTACGACAGAGCTCTGAGACTTTGTCGCAAGGTTAAGCCTCATTTAAGACTACTTAGTCCAAGGTCTAACTCAGGTTAATCGACAGTCACTCATTTGGACCTATTTCTCAACCCATAGCCCCCAATAAGGCCTTGCATAGTCATGCAATTCTAAATTTTTTTGTGAAAATGCCCATATTAAGTTGAACATCAAACTTTCTCAGCTATTGTATCTTATTCTTACATGTACTCAAAAGTTAAAATAAATTTTACTAATTATTCATTAAGTAGCAATATTTGTTTTAGGATAGGATGGCTTTCAACTTCTCCTCACTCAGCTTCACAGCTTTTGGTCGTTCGAAGGTGAAGTTTAACTGGCATCTCTGCACAGATGCTTTTATTCAAGCTGCTCTTCATGCGACGCACTTTAAACTCACTGGAAAACTGGCACTTTGCGCTGAATATGTTCCGTGTCGACTCTTTGTTAATGGGAGGTCTGAGACACTGCGTTCCCTCACCACGGAAATGAAGGATTTCGTAAGGTTGAAAATCCGACAACAGTATAGCCAGGTGGTCTACTATTTTCTTGTGCAAAGCTTTTTTTCCTTTTTGCAGATGCTTTGGTGCAATGCACACAGATAAGCTGATAAAAACTGCCAAAGCCTCAGAGTGTGTGGAACTGTTGAAAAAGGCTTGCGAGCGTCATGAATTTTTACTAAAACACGCTATGACAGGAAAAGGCGTTGACCGTCACCTATTAGCGCTGAACATTGCATACAAGTTTCGCACTTTCAAGGTATCGCCTGTGCTTCTGTTTTCGTTTAAATAACTCGCGCTTTAACCAGAAACGCTAAGTGATTCTCCTGATCGACCGATTTTGTCCGTTTGAAAACAGCGCACCTTTTAAAGTCATGATTAGTCATTTTACGACTTAATGTTGAGGTCCCATTTCGTTTCTGTTGTATCGGACCTCGTGGTTGATATGGTTACCCAAAATTTTCGCAAAATCCTGTTTCAGCGTTGCGAAGTACTGGAAAAGGTCTTGAAAATGCCCTTTGATCTTGTCACCTGCCGAATGCCGAATTCCGCCTTTGAGGTAGGATGCAAATTTACTCTCTAGTGGAGCCACATTTTAAATCTGTTTTACTTACCTCAATCAAGATGTGTTCTTTGCCAACTTCAGGGTGCGTGGGAGATAATGCTGCCAACTATGGACCAAAGCAGTGCCATTCACATTGCTTATGCGTGTCGAAATGACCCCGATGGCTTCCACTTTTCTATCTCTGGTATGGGGAATCGAGTTGAGAGCTTTACACACATTCTCGAACAAGTTCTACTTGACTTGCAAAACTTGCCTTTCCAAAAGACAACTTAAGCAACCTTTTTGTTTTCCATTTACTGCCTTTTTCTAGAAATGACTTAAATTGTGCTTTTTTAGATGAGAATAGTCGAAGTTGTGTATTTTCTCTAGTAAAGGCATAGGCTATTCAATGTTCTGGATTGCACAATACTTTGAACCAGAGTGGTCATTGCCCGTTTGTCCTGGTTCCATCAAGCAGTGTAGAGAGGTCGAATATGCAAATTCGTCCCTCCTGTGAGGCAGCGACTATCAACTTTCCCACAAGCTACAAAAGGGAGAACATTTAGGTGCTCTTTTGTGTGTCACATACCTCAAAACAGCAGAATTTCCCCTCCTCAGGGCAGGTGAATCGTTCCACAATGCTTGCCGTGTTTGTCTCGAAACATCGAATCGCTCCATCGCCTGATCCGGTTATCACTTAAGAGGGAGGCAAAAGGTAGATCGCAACGTTCTCATACTCCAACTTTAAATTGGGTTAATGCAATCACTGATGGATGGAATTTGATTACAAGATAGCTTGCACGAAGCCTTCATCGAGCCACCATTCTTTGAGTGACCGCATTCCAAAGCATCATTTGGAAATGCCTCAGTCTTTAAAGCGCTTACTTCCATGGGCAAATCAAATACGCGAACTTAAGCAAAAGGAAAGGGAAGGAGGAGTAGCCCATTCAACTCACGCAAGTCGTCCTTCAATGCCAACTTGAACACTGTGTGGCCGTGGGGTTTATAAGTTCGCAACTCCTGCGCCATGCCGGTGACCCAGGCTCTAGCTGTCTCGTCAGTGCTGGCACTGTAGAGGTAACCATCGCACACCTAAATCGAAGTAAAAGTTTCCAACCAATTCCCTCATGCATGTTGAACGAGTCGAGGAGGAGGCGTACCGGGTTTGAGCAGACACAATTCCAAAATGAGGAACAATTAAAGCAAAGTTACTTTTAGAAGATCAGGTCAAGAGAAGAACAACGATGGATGAAAGTGGCAGTGTTGTACTAGAATGGAATCAGCAGAGAGCTGGGGGAAGTGAGGCGGTATCAGCTCACCGACTATCTGCTTCATGAAAGAAAAGGTTTCCTTGCATCCCTTTGCACTGAAGGGTGACCAGGGAGGAGCCCACACCCACGAAGGTTAGGGTTTATGGGCCTGTCGAAAGGTGGCACATGAAAGATCGGAGCTCACGATCCGCATTGACTCATCGTTAATGATTCCCCTCCCATTTCACCCACATCAAATAATGCGATTGGCGACACTTGAGCCACAACAAACGACAAATTTCTTTGAAGTGTTGAAGGCGACTGGCTGCTCAGCTTCCATTGCTTCCCTCTAAACGCATCCGCGTGGCTTTTGTGGCCGGTTAGAGCCGCTTGCCATTAGTCAAGTATTGCTGTACTTTGTTTTGAAATTGCAAAAAAAGTGTTTGAACTCATCGCTTAGCTTTTCTGATGGACAACTTTGTACAGTAAAAGGCCATCCAAGGAGGTGAATGAGATCTCCACCGTCGGCACACCAACAACGCAACAAGCAACCAAAATCGCCACAAAGTTTTTTTTGGTGCGTGAATTGTTCCAGTTAAGCAATAAGGTTATCTAAGTTTTTTGTTTAAATAAAATGAGTAAAATTGGATAAGAATTTTGCATTTAACTTTATCAGTGATTGACAGTTGGTTTATTTAGTGGTTGTATGGAAGGCGTCAATAGTTGTCGTTCCCTTTTATCTTTTTTCTTGGGAAGCTACACTGATGGCTGCTGAAAGGGTGGGTGAACTGCCACCCATCCCAGATTCACAGTGCTAGCCATGAAATGTCTAGAAAGTTTTCACCTCTAATTTCCCAGCTATGCGTGAATGAACACCTCAAAAGTGGGGCGATGTGTGGAAACGCTTCCCCGCTGATGTGCCCTCAGTCCACCAACCCAATTCGCACAAATCGGTTCTTAGACCAACGTCGCACGGCCCAACCATGAGCACATATGATGGCCAGTCCAGTCGATTTTACAAGAAAAGTCCATGACGCTGTGGTCAAGTTTCCTTTAAGCTATGCTGGAATTTGATGACTGACGACTGACTCGGGCGGTTTTTCATGAAGAGCAGTCGAGATAGTCGCTTTAAAAAAGACTGTCGAATTGGGTGGCTGCGTCGCGTTAGTCGGGCGAATAGACCTTGGAGGCTGCGGCGAGAGGCCCGATTCTCTTCTGTTTGTGCCCAAGCGCTGGATCTTCCTCCGTCTTAAAGAAAGTCTTAGCACGCCTTAACAACTGGGTCGGCAAAGCTAAGAAGAGCGGTACATGATTCAAAATGTAAAGAAATGGAACTATTCCTGCTTTAGCATATGGTGACAAACCAAAGAGACCCACACGATAGCCAAGTGGCACACCATTTGCTGAAATGCAGTGTGACTGCCTGAAAGTTTCACAAATTCCTCCGCAAGGAACCACCTGCACGGTTGCCAAGGCTCTCAATCAACTTTTGTCTCTTCCTCTCGAGGTTCAGTGAGTCGCATTTTTCGCCTAACATGGCGATTTGCGTATATGCGAAACTACTTTATTGGCAAAATTCGAATCACTCTCCGCATGATTGTTTTCAGAGTTGATTTAGCAGTCGTGGCACCGCGCCTTACGAAAGGCCGACGGAGGACTTGGCCCGACAGCGGCGTTGGTGGGTGATGTTGATGGCCTGGGAAAAAAGCGGCAGCCTCAGCACCATGAGAATGCTTTGATTGCTCTTTCCTTTCAAGTGTAAATAAAAAAGGAGCCTTAATTTTTATTTCAGGAAACTCCATAAATTCATAGCTTAAAATGCTATTTGCGAGACTGTTTTATGACTATTTTTCCGGTTTTCGGGGTGACAATGTCTGCTGCTTGTGGACAACTCCGGAAGGAAGTGCTCGTCTTTTAAGGCAAGGCAATAACTTTATAGGTCGCAGACCATGTCGTTTTTCCCTCTTTTTAATAAAATTTTTCTTTTTCAAGTAGTTGCATCATATCGAATGAACGATTGTTCAACTGCAAAATGCCTAAATAAAAGGAATCGCCACCCTCTTGACGCGTTGTTGGTAACCATTTTTACAAAGATTTGTCTCTTCTGCGGGTAACAACTTCAAGCAAATTGGCATCTTCACCTGTGCTGGTCAGGAACTTGAAGGTGGCTCAAGAGAATATCCGGAAGGCGCTTACTTGCTCGGAAACGATTGGAAACTTACAAGTAAGTCGATGATTGGAGCTGTATGCCCCTCAAACCAGTGAATCCTCTGTCCGGTTTCGATCAGCCAACTCGCAATTCGACCATCAGATGACCCCGAGTAGAGGTAGTGACGATCCTGGCTCAGCGCCACGCAAGTAACTGGTCCGGTGTGTCCCGCAAACGTCTGGAGGCTGACTGATCTGGTAGCGTTCCATAAACGTACCGTACAATCGACCGAGAAGGTGACAAATCTTACACGTCGTCGTCCAACGGATGCTTCCCCGCCCTCTGGGGTTGTATTGCTATCTCGATCGCCTGTAATAATGTGGATACCGTAGACTGCACCCTTGTGGCCTTTGAATTGCCGAATCTGGGCGCCGTCTTCAAGGCTCCAGCAGTAGACAAATGTTTCGTTTCCAGAGGTAAAAATTTGCGTTTGAGTGACTCGAATTGAGGTGATTGCACCCGTGTGACCAGTGATAGTCTTTTGGGAAAAATATGGAAGAATATGAAGCCACAATACTTTATTTATTGGAACACAAACTGAATTCTCAATGAAAGATGGGTGGGATATTCAAAAGACAGAAGCAGTTTTGTAAGTTCTTTTAATCCCTGCTAGGTGGGTTGCAGCCTTTGTTAGTGTGAATATCCGCGAAATTAACTACCCAGAGCTGCTCTCCCTTCGCCGAATTTCGTTTATAGTGAGATTTTTACCAAAATCACTCTTTTTAACTCGGAAATACATTGCAGTTTGTTGGACGTGGAAACTTTAGATGTAAGTGACGCTTATTAAATGGAATCCATAGTGGCCACAGCAACTTACAAAAAGACATTCGCCCTTATTGAGACTCCACTTGCGCACAGTCATGTCTCCAGATCCAGATAGCAACTCCTTCACCGCAAACACCAGGCAGGTGATGTAGTCACTATGTCCGACAAGCTCATGAACGCATTCAAATGTTTCCATTGACCACAGACGTACAGAACAGTCCTCTGATCCCGAGGCTAATAATGTGGCATCGGCTGATGCAACCAAACAGTTTATCTCCTCTGTATGCGCCTGTATGCATGATTTGACGTTGTGAGGATTGGAGACATGGACGATTTCAGCAGAGGGTTCCTTTTGAATGCTTGCAGCGTTGTTTATTGTGGTGGAGTCGTCGGAATTACATACGATGGGGTGACTGGAGGAGGAACCCATTTGTACGCTTTCACTGTTGAAGAAGAGAATCTATGAGGATCCACGAAGAAACACACAAATTCCTTGACGCTAAAAGACTTTTCATGAATCGTCAGATCTGAATAACTGCACGTTTAAAAATTGTGTACGCTTGCTATATTTCATTATAAAAAGGATCGTAATATAAGGTTAACCATATTTCGCTCAGAGTTACTAACTGTATAATGCTCTTATTTGTTCAAGTGAACTAAAACTGTGAGAATGGTGAGCAGCGTTCTCTTGAATTGTGTTCGTGTGCATAGTGAGTCACGAGAATGGTGGCTAAGGTATTTATCTTTGCTGATTAATGAGGTAAAAGAGTGAGCAGGTAAACTCAAAAGAAAATATATGAGAAAGGTGTGATGATCGTTGGGGTAGAGTCGCCCTGGTTCGTACGTTTTATGGCAATCCTGAGTGTTTTGGCCATAGATTGGAATGGCACATTTCATGAAAGGGGTGAGGTAAAGTACACCGGGGCAGGCGGGTGCTCTGTGCATTTCAGAGGGTCGTGGTGCCAACGATGAGTCATCTGGGGCTAGGGGTTGCCATCCTCAGTTTGAACGCGTAAGTGAGGGACTAACTTGATGCGTTAACTTTGAATTCCCATATTCGAAATTAGCAATAGGAAACCACACTACGTACAGGTTGTCCTGGTCCAATTAAAGCAAAAAGATCTCATCTTGGGACGGTGAGTAGGTGGAGTACATTGAGTTGACTTCCTCTTCCGTCCTTTTATGCACGCCGCCGAGGAAGTAACTTTTAAGGCCTACTGACAATTCCTCTTTGCCCCTACTAGAACTTGGCAAAATCAGGGCTGTTCACCACGAGTCTACCACCTCCCGTTATGTCGAAACGTTTCTAGATGCCAAATTTTACAGTTTCGGCATCAAGATTTGCGTTATGTTTGTTTTATTTACGACTTGAAACCACCGAGGCGGTGTATGCGTGGATGAGCTTAGTAATGGAAACCACGCAAGTAAGTCAGAAAATAGTCATCCTCTATCGGCATCAAAGTAGTTGATCAACTGCCCCTCAACTCGTCAAGCACAGAATGAGGCCTCGATTAACAGCCACGCAGTCATTAAATGACAATTACGATTTAAGACTAATGAGAACAATAAACATTTTTGTGATGCTTTCTAAGCATTGCATAAAAGCCTGTTTTTACACCTTTGCCATGCAATAAATGGCTTTAGAATGCATTTTAAAGACGGAAATGTTGAAGTTTTAATAATTGGCACAAAAAAATTATGGTTCAGAAATGCTCTCTCATTGGGATTTTGTGTGAAAGCTTTTGGCGGTGCATTTGAGCGTTAAAAACATTTTATTCGCACCAGACTCTCTTCCTGTTGCTCAAGGGCTCGTGGCTGCTTTGAGACGCTGTAAAGGGAGGCGGTGGAAAGTTTTGTGGACTTACGATGCAGATACTGCACACAGCCTGGAGGCAGGTGAAAGGCGAACACATTTTTAGCGCTGCTGCATTTTGGAGGCGTTGAAGGACACAAGAAAACAAAGTGAACCCTCTCTGCTGGTTATTTGTGAAGTTGCATTGTGTTTAAAAGCATTTATTGCATATTCATCCAGTTTTCCTCTCCTTTAATCGTGAGATTATGTGGCTAATTTTGTACCTTGAATAAGGAGGAGGAGGAGTGCGGGTCTCAACTCATCATCCACCTCGTCCTTAAGCGATAAGCTGCTTGCCTTAAGGGTACTGATTTTAAAAGTAATTTGTCATGCAGCATTTTAGGAAAGAAGCATAGAAAAATGAGCATGGATCGTGTCTTTTTAAACATTACAAACATCTTGCATCTGCACAAAAGCAATTACGAAGGAATGGCGACTTACAAAATTTCGACGCAACAAGAATGAAGTTAAAGCACTGAGAAGGGAAGGTCCCAACACAATTTACTCCACAGGAGAACAATGAATTCATGTGAAACATGGCCAGTGTCATGGCAACAGTGGAGGTGCATTGATCTGCAGTCTGAACTCTAGTAATTTGTGAATACGCCTTGAGCAATGATAGGCTTGTTGCATAAAACGCGAGGATTCCCTACTTTAAACAATCATCCTATTGTCATCCGTGCTTTGTTACCAGATTTCCATCCTTCCAGTTTGCTGATCGACTGGACCACTACTTCCACGAACCACATAGTTGAACGTGGTGTAAGTGAGACTTATCAGTCACTGCCCCTCCAAATGCGTAGCATCCAGACTTAATTGTTTGCTATTCACTGCAAACACTTAATTATGTGATTAAATAAGTTCTATTTCAATAAGTTTTTTTAAACACGTACAAACCGCAATAACATCGGCTTTTTAATGTAAAGATGGGCTCCCCTTCAACATTTTGAAAACACAATGACCAACTGCGCTCTACTTTGCCCAATAGATCCTTCACCATCTAACAAAACTCGCAAATCGAATGCCAGTTTTCTTATGAAAATTTATATTTTAATACTATCTACTCACAAATATTTAGTACGCTGGTTAAAAATGATAAATTTTTGATGAAATGTGAAGCTGTAGTCTTGTCTAATGTGGGTATGATAAGGGTGCATATTCATAATCCGACGAGCAGAATGAGTGAAATAAGGACACTAAATCGATAAAAATAACAATATAGTAAGCGTATGTAGTGATGTTGATTTGCAGCATTTAATAGTCACCGCTGCGATACGTAGTCGTTGGGTTTGTACCATTGTTGTTCCACTGAAAATCCTCGTTTTCCCCTTTCGTGACAACATAGTCACCTATATTTGGAAAGAAGTGGAAACGGTATTTTTTAGTAAACATGACATAGGATGTTTCAATATGATGGTAGATTTGTAAGAGGGGGGAGGAGTGGAGGGAGGTTTGCTAGGGCAAAGCACTACCGGATTCCAATTTCAAGCAAGAAAAAGGGATAAAATTTGGATGGAATTTCCGGCAAGTTGGAGGTGACGCCCCTGCAAACTTTTATGGCTGTCACACCTCATACGAAGGTGAGCACATATTGCGCAATAAGGCTTTTGAGAGAGGGCTATTCTGACCGGAAACAGTTAGTAGAACAGCTACAAATGTGCGATTTACGCCTAGGTGGCTCTCGGACTGTAATCTCCCTTTTTCAACCACTTAATAGGGCAAATATTGTGTTAAATTCACTTTATTGTAATAGCACAGATAAGGCAGTCGGGTGGAGACTTCTGCGTTTTAGTCGGCTCTATTCTTACCTATTCCACAAACGAAGCGGAAAACAGGAACAGTTTTCTCTATTAATGCCGTTTACTTGATTTAACATTTAGCTTTCTAGAAACCTACACATATAGAAATGTACAAAACCACTCCTTTGAATTTCTTCCCCACTGCAACAACTTTACTTGGAGAAATCGCCCAGCCTTTAAAAGCTAAAGTCCTAGAAATTGTTAGACGTCGGTTGATATTCCCATTCATTCCAGCCGGACGCAAACTCACCGCCAGCATCGTAGTGCCGATAGATCGGCGGCAACCCGTCATCGTAGCCGTAGACGGGTCTCTCCCACGGTCGTCTGCGCTGACGCACCGGTGAGCCTAGCAGGTAGCCTGTACTTGTTGAGGAGGAAATGGGGTAATAGGCCGACGCCCCGTAGTGCTGATAAGGCAGCATATACCTCGAAGCTCGGTAGACTGACGAAGTGGACGATGAAAAACGTGATGGGGACGGTGACTGGCATCGCTCGCGGACCGCTACTGCGCTGACCTAAAGGCAACCACTTTGTTAGGTCTTGCGACTCAGATCTCGACTATAGCCTCACCTCCCTTGTTTTACCAACACAGTAAAATGGAATCGTGGCGCTTCCCTCCTATTTAAGAGGAGCTATCCGAGAGTTTACTTTGAGCCGATCTCTTCCTGATTCTTTTTCATGCGTCGATATATTGCAAATACCCTACACTTCATATCCCAGGAGTGCATTTTCCTTAATAAGCACCACCTTCGTACCGCGGCTTGTAGTAGGAGCGACACGAAGGGTTGGGAGAGTTTTGGTGTACGCAGTGATGACTCCAAATAACTGAAGTTGACGGAAGTTAACGCCCTTCTAAAGAGCAGATGCAACACTGTAGATACCGGTTTAAGTTGAGTGCAGTGATTTTCGTCTCTAGTGATTACCGTGGGGTGTTGGACGATCTTTGCTTTTTAATAACCTCCTGACAATTGCTGAGGAAAGCGAACTCATTCAATGCATGCATTGATGTCAGTCTTTTCATTGCGAATTTCTCATCAAATGCTTCCTCTCCTTCCTCTTAAAGGATGAAGCAGCATTTAAAAATCCACATGGAAACTCCCCCTCCCCCATTTATAAATGTAACGAAGTGTGAATGGTGTCATTTCTACCCCATCAACCTCACTTTGCTAGCCATGTAAAACAAAACAAATCCGACTAGAGGAGCGCCAGGCATGCAGAAAATTCGCCTTTTGAAGATGAAGTTGTCTAGCCAGTCAGAGGTAGGTGTACTTTTGTCTCAAGATAAATACACGGTCACATGTCGGCTACTGTCGGACCTGGCGACATGGGCTCTGGCTGGGCGGGCGGAGTGACTTCAACCGCCTCCACCTTCCCCCTGTCCCTTCCTTTTACCCCCGTTGTGAGAGAGATGCGTCCTCGTGGTGTTTGAGGGGGCTTCCGGGTCTTAAGCCAGGACAAGAGCGGCGATGGCAGCTCAATTTGGGTTCAAAATACTTTATATTAAAAAAAACGTAGGGAACGTTTCCGTTTCTTGTTTTTAGATAATAATTTATGTTCCTTCACTTTACAACATAAATTTTAGTAATTTAGGGGACATTTTACTAACCGATGCGGAGGAATTTTGTTTGGCGAAGCGAAGTGCAGCTTCTGCCACCGCTCGGGTTGGAAGAATGTTGGCGTCGAGAGCATCCTGCAGGGCTGCGGCTGAACAGCGATGCAGATCCAACACTCCAAGGATCTCCTCTCGCAAATTGTCTGTCAACGCTTCCTTGTCTACGTTTATGGGGAAAATGAAACGTAACCAATTTACATTTGTAGATGAACAAAAGTTCAACATTGCGGTACTCCCTAAGCCCTTTCATTCATCAAATCCGACAGCCATAACTCCCGTTTGGTGACTCTGCTAATCAAGATTGGTACCGTTGCTAGGCTACAGGGCATGCATTTCTATGGACGATTCTACGATCTCGTTTTATTGATACGAGACGCGAGTGGAACCTCCCTAGGGATGTGACACATGGCGATTGAAGTAGCCCGTACAAACATTAATAGTAACCGGAAAGAAAATATTACAAAATAAGTGCCCGAGGCTGTACAAAACAAAAGGCGATGACGCATCCAACCTTAAACAAGCAAACGCAACAGTAAAAATTAATTTCAACTTTAACAATAGTTCGCCTCACTGTGGAAGCCTCTTGCCATCACAGCAAACTCCATAGCCCTCGGTTCCACAACAGTGCCATCAAAAGTTTACTTGAATGCGTCAATGTCATAAACTTACTTGATTTGACCAGTTTGCAAACTGCTCGGATAAGTCCATCGTGATTTTCCCTCCTATCCAATGGCAAAGCCGTTTTCAACAGTCCGATGTACTCCTCAATAGTCATATTTTGGCTCTCAATCGCAGCGTTCAAGTAGAGGTCAAGGTTGTCTGCTATTGTTGATGGCTCCTCACACAGCAGTTGCGAGCCCCCGGTGGTGGAGTTTGTCTCCCCTTTCCGCTCCTCTCCGGCCATCGTAGCCAAACCTGACGATGTACCATCACCAGAAACGGAAGCCGACTGGCTGGCGCGCAGGTTCATTGTTGCGAGGATGTCTTTAATGGTTTGTGGGGAGATGACTCGTAGCTCTTGGACACTGAATCGAGACAGCATTTTGCCGGCTATATCAAGAATGAACGGTCGACTGGCAGAAGAGTCTCGACGCCGCTCTGTCACGGAGAGGGCCTGTGGAGCATAAAAAGGAAACCGTGCAAAAAAGTCAACCACAGGTCTTCAAATACCCAACAATCCACCAGTAATAAATCCTTAAAATAATTAATGTCAAAAACCTATATCTGCACCAAGCAAGTTGTAAAAAATCCCTTTCTTTGGCTGCTAAGGTTAAAGAGTGATTTTTTATCAAAAAAACCGCGAAAGGACATCAAATAAACAGTTAAAATACGCATTGTCCAACTTCAACGTCGAAATATTTGCGTTTAATATTTTTCAGCCCTTAGTTTGGCGTTGACTTGGAAGATGCCTCATTTGCATTAATGGGATAGCTATTTTCGGGGCGATTTGGGAGAGCATTCGTGTGACACGCAAATGAGTTAGGGGATTTGCTTACTTCAGCTTGCAAGTAAAATAAGACTACGAGGCACGGCCACCATCTTATCACTACCATTTACATCACAACAGCCTTGCGTCGCACACTGCGAGACACAATAGGAGGATACGCCTTTTGAATTCGTCTAAATTTTAAAGTCTGAAGCATCAACTTCACACAATGTCAAACGCTTTCAATTTCCAAATTTCCACCGGTTGAAAAAGGAAGAGGTTGACGCCTTAACAAGGTTAAAATGAGAAATATATAAAAAGGGTGTCAACTAGTGACCTCTTCTCACATACTTTTACTGTTCAATGAAACCAAATGTTCTATGAATGGCAAGCAGCACTAATTTATGCCAGACTGCTAAAAGAAGTGATGAGTGGAGGCGGGAATCCGCAATCCTTTTCCTCGTAACGAAAGACCTTAGTCTGCATATGTATGCACCACTAAGAGCAAATTATTTCGGATTGATACGGACTATATATGCTACCTCCCTCTTAATTTATAGAACGGCAAGGACATTTTTGCTTAAAACTAGTTTGGGATGAATCTTAACAAACATTGCAAAAATTTAATCTCACTTGCTTGCACCAATCGACGTTCACCTTCGAAACCAATGGAACATCACGTGGCAAAGCCGAAAATATGTTGTCCATGATTTCTTCCAAAGGAATGGAATCAAAGTTAACGCCAGACAGTTCTTCTGCTAGTACATCACGATCAAGGCTGTTTAATCTCTCAAAAGGAAGACAAGTGCAAATGGCGGCTTTCTTTAAATGATTTGTAGATGTTTGATCAACTTTGCTATCTTGTCTACCATTTTCCTCACTAAATTGACGTCCACGATCATCGCTTGCTTCTGCTAAGGAAGCTTCCAAGGCAAAACGGAGGGCAAAAAACTTTGCAGTTAACTCAGCCATAGCACAGAATGTCGATTTCATTGTAGAGATTTCCTGTATGATACGTGCAACTACATTATCGGGTAGGAAAACGAGAAATTCTGTAAGCACTGGATCAACTGTTAGTCTTTCGTCATTGTGTTGGGATCGCCGAATCCACATACTTAGAATGGCATCAAACAAACGGATGAATATGTCACAATACTCATAGTTCTTTAAACTGGCTGAATAGGCAAGTGCAACTATTGCAGGACCGAACTTGTGAGACATTCTCATATCCGTAATAAGGATGTTGACGTAGTCATCTGTAAGATCTATAAGATTTTGTTTGCCAAACATATCGAGAATATGAGCTGCATTGCTCAAAAAAGATATGCTGCGTGGATTAATCTCAATTTCTTTGCCATAGCAAAAGGCAACAATATCAGCAAAAATATCCGATCCTCCGTCCAAAAAAGGCATCTGTAAGTCGGATGACACTCCAATTTTGTCCTTTACGTAGCCCATCTTTAAAAGTAGCGGAAATTTGTGAAGATGATAAATCTCGTTGTCGAAAAAAACGTTGACATCGGAAAAATCACCCGATTCCAATAGTCTAAGTGCATTCATTTTTGAGAAGAATTTTGCATATCGAAAAGCTCTGTATGTTATTTGCGAGGAATTGTACCTTTGAAACGGTTATTCAACTCCAAGTATCATCAAACGTGAGTATTCGCGACAATAGGTTTAAAGGTTTGTACAGAAAATCCCAGCGTTAAGGTCATCTTAACTAATAAATGTGATGCACATAAACAGTAATTGAAATAATGTGCCTAGGACAAAGCCTAATTTTTTACAAATATCGTAATACTTAGCATTACTTACATTATGGGTCTTACTACATTGCTAAAAAGTCTGTTTAGCCTGTTGACTCTGAGAGGTGGCCGCAACTCTAGGCGGCAGTATTTATTCACACCCGCTTCTTGAAATTCTGAGTATGTAGACCATTTATCACCCTTCTTTGTCTTTGGGGAAACCTGTTACCGCTGCATACATCAATTGTAGTAGTCTTTTACGACTGAAGTGCGTTCCGAATATTTTGTCGATTCTGTAATACTTTGTTTATGTGGCTACCTGACGTTTGGCGGTCCGGGAATATCTATTGCCTAACAGACACCGCCGTCGTACAGGCATCTTACGTTTGCGTTGCTAAACTTTGCCAATTAATCGACTGATTTCCGGAAAAGAACAGTACGAACAAGCCGACGAGCAATGTTTCGATCGGATGATGCAGTGCTTCAGTACGTACAAATCGCAGAGGATCTTGAGATGTTTGAGTAGCTATGAGTCTGATAATCTGTTGGATTCCAAAATCGGGTTCTCTTGGCCGGAAATTCGAAACATCTCTTTTCACGAAAAGAAGTTTATTTTTACAATCCGACCAGCCGAGAAGACTGCGATGGAATCCTATATTTTAGCGAGGGAATCCAAGATCAACAAGCGCAGATTGGCGTTGTACATTATCACTCATGAGCCATACATGCGTAGATAGAAGTTTGACTCTATCGAGGCGCAAAAGATGAAGATACAGGCGAAAAGTGGAAGTTAATTGAAGGAGGCGCATTTACCTTGGTGACGGAGAATTTCTGAATCTTTCCCGTGTTCCACAGACAAGCTATCAACAACTGAAGCGACACCACCGTGAACCATCTTGAAAAGTTTCGCGTCGGAATTTTTTACACAAAATCCGTGTTTAGGTGTCGGAACTGACACTACGGTTCTCCTTACATACGGGACAGTGACGCATCCCGTTTCCTCTGTAACACATATTTTAGACGGGAGTTACACCGTCTATTCCTGGAAGCAATTGATGGTCAACAGGTGTATGCGGTCCCAAATCTGGTCGTCAGACCGAACGTAACCCCAGATCCAGTTGAAGCTGCCGCGGAGTCCAAGTAGCGTTCCTCAGTCTCATGCTGTCTGTCAACTGGTGCGGTTGGTTCGTGGGTGCTTTCATGTAGTGCTGAATATGTTGTGATGGCTGGCGCAGGAGGTGTACCAAAGGGAGCGCCGAGGACGTCGCTCAGAAGAAGAGAGGGGCAGTGTAATACATTGTTTATATGACCACGTGACGTTAGGCTGTCACTTCAGAATTTGTCGCGCCCCTGTACACGTGGGCTGGCTTTCCGGCCACGCTCAGGCTCCATTTGCCCTGTCGTCTTCGGAATACATGTATCCAACTACACTTACTGATTTCTTATACCGGCCAGGAGGTCTCGGGACGCTACAGATTCAACGAGACTTGCCACAGAGTAGAAGAAGGCAGAAAGTGAAGGTGAATACTTATATTCCAAGGTCTAAGTATGGCCCGACGACCAGCCCACACGTACAAGTTCCGAGCAGAAATGAAAACAGAATATTCCATTGGGTTATTAATGTTTCCCACATTAGATGTTTTGCAAGGATTTGGCCGTTTTTGATTAATTTGGACAACAGCATGCAAAAATGGAAGGATGAAGGATCTGTCTGCCTACCTACCCTCGTGTCCCTGAGCCGCGGACCTCATGAGAGAGTCGGCTGAGGAGATTTTAGTCGGTATCGTGTACAAAAAAAGGAAATGGAAGGGAGGACTGAAGAAGCACTAGTCTTATGTCAACCAGATGATGCCTCTTCTCGCCCCTCACAAACGGAATTCGTGTTCGAGCTGACCAACCACTTCTCTTCTATAAAGGCAACTTAAACGCATATATTGAGCAGTCCCTCCTCCTTCAAGCACCGTCAGGTGGCTTCTCTTCTTCTGCCAACACATTAACTTCGCCTTCGTAATCCACCGGGGGCGGACCCATACTTGGTCTGATTCTGTCACGATGTACTGTTAGAGGCTGTGTGCCAATCGCCGCATCGCGGATGGGGTAAATGGTAGGCAGCAGGACTTTGATTACTCGGTAGGGTTCATTGCTGCAGGCATGGTAGAAGTTCTGATGGATTCCTGGTGGAGGAATCGACCTGTGCACTTACACCAGATCGCCCTCATGAAATACGTTTGTTTGGCTCTGTCTACCGTGCCACCTCGTATGCTCAGCACCTGACTTCTGCAGTTGTGTGCGTGCGACGTTGAGCACTTTCCTAAGGCATTCCTCCAGTCGCAAGGCATACGGAGCATGTCATCGACTGCCGGTTTGTTACAAGGAAGGGGAATGTCGGAAGGAACTCGCGATTCACGAACTGTACGCATCTTGAAAGGTGCGACTTCAGTCGAGGTGTGTGTGGGTGGAGGCGGGGTAGGCAAGGCGGCCGCATCCTGGGTGATGAGTCCAGTCCTCAGGTTGGTAAAGGCCATCAATAGGTTCACATGTGCACGATTCGACCTTTCCACTTGACCATTGTCCTGGGAGTGACCTCGGGTTGTAGGCGTGTTGTGGAATTCAAAGGTTTTGCACAGCTCTTTAAAGAGACGGTTTTCACAGTTCGGCCTCTGGTCACTATGCACAGAATTTGGCAGGCCGTGCCACTGCCGCAGCCTGTACCGATTCAGCATCCGCGACATTAGCAATGTAGTTCACCATCATCAAAATGTAGCGACTTCCTT